AAGCACATATACGTGTATATTGCTGAGCTATAGGCAGGAAGATATCTTCGCGAGCAATGTTTATAAAAGGAAACAACCATTCTCAAAAACAGATCTTAATGAACATATAACACCAGATAAAGTAAGAAGAAAAAAATTAATCTGCTTGTAGATTTTTAAAATTATTCCCAGATCCAATATCTTCCCTGATAATTACAAATTCTGAATTCGGTAGAATTGTATATGACGACATTTACATCACATTTCAGATGCCATATTCCCAATGAATGACCCCTTGATTTGATTTTTATATTGACATTACATTATATTGGTCATAGAATGAATACAATGGTGTCGTAGGAGAATAGGGCGGATTAAGAAAATTTTACAATCATTTTATTATCATTGGGAAAATTAGAAATTGTTTCTTAGGAGTAAATAAATCCTGCCGAAGAATATTTTTTCTTCTTTTCGTAAAAATAAACCTATTATGAGGATGAATCTGAAGACCCAAGGACTAATTTGTGGTGTAATTTATTAAGAACCGTCACATGTCACTAATGCGGGATGCATCAGAAATTCTATTTTCTGATTATTGGGGGATGTGTAACCTCATATAAAATGCTATACGGAACTTCTACTATCTTAGGATTTTAATTAGGGAGCATATTCCTATTGACTTCTATTCTGCTTATCGTAGCATATTTGCTGAAAAATATAGAACGAATTAACCAGGAAAAAAGAAAAAAAAATAGAGAATAGCAAATATATTCTTTTAACAGATTAAGTTAAGAATAATAATTTAATCCATCCGTGATAATGCCAAAAATATTTTTCCATTGACGACCTTTTAGGAATAAGAGCTGCCTTGTAAAAGATGTGTAAATTACGCAAATAATATAATGGGAAGGGAATTTTCATTTATTTTTATTTATTTCTATTTATTTTTATTTATCTTTATTTATTTCTATTTATTTTTATTTATCTTTATTTATTTCTATTTATTTTTATTTATTTTTATTTATTTCTATTTATTCTTATTTATTTTGATTTATTTTTATTTATCTATATTTAACGCTTGCATTGCGTAGTAATCTTTTTCTTTTTTTTCAACTACTATTCTGCTCATCTTATTAATGACACATTCCATTTCTTAATTATGAGAAGTTACAGATTGCATAATTGTATGACCACATATGTCATAAGAAATATCTCTCAGGGGGGAACGAATTTTATATCATACCATACAATTCTTTCATAAGAGGATAGCAGAAGAAATCGCAGAATTCAGCAATGTAACGCCTATATCAAATTCTTTTTATGACCATCAAAATGGCCGTCTCAAATTATTCATTCCACAGGAGACACCCATTCTGCGCCAATGGGGAGAATAATTTCTAATCTGAAAGATGCCTACCATAGTCCATCCCAAATGGCATCAGCTCTAGGCTTAAAATGCTATAAATGAACCCGCATTTCGGCTTATAAGCTGCGTAGGATTTTTCTCTTTCAAAATTACACTCCCAGCGTCGTGAAGTGCTGACCTGTACCATTGTATCCTACGATAACGCATAGAGTCCTCGTCAGCCGGGTCAATATTATCGACAGGAGGTAACCTCCATTAGTCCGTATTAATATATGCATAGTATACTATAAAAAATGTTATCTTCCTTCGCATTCCGCAAGAATCTGTTCGATTTTTGGTATGAAGGAGAATTCCCTTTTTAGGGGGAATTACTCTGTAGAAAAAATAATTTCTAATTTGTACATTATCTGGGGCAAAATTATCCGGCTTCCCTGTGCATCCTGTTTATACAGAAACTGTCTTCATGGCTTCTTGTCGATTTGCTTCTCGCCCTTCATTGTTAGTTTATTTGTCTCTATGTGTCTACCCATTTCACACGTTTAACATAAATATAAAAACATTGGAAATGCATCTTAAAAGTGCAATATTCTATTTCTTCCTCATCCAAAAAATACGCTTCA